GATAATTTGCAACCAGTATGGAGTACAATTATGCCGTATTCACTTATGTTGCTGGATTAGGATAATACACACAGACTAATTTTGTGCCTTTAAAACATCTTTATTAGCAAAAGGCAAATACATTTTCAAAATCATTTTTGTCTTTACACTTATATAGATGTATCAAAAATGAAAAATATCAAATCATAATTAGCAGGAAATATGCTAGTAAGCAAAACATATGCATTAAAGACATTTGTAGACTAACGGTACCTTCTCATTCAGATATAAACCACACATTAACATGCATTTTCATTAATCAGACAAATATGTTGATGTTAATTATACTACACTTCTCATTTTATGGCATATCTCATGTAACTGCTAACAAATCTCTATCCAGTTACAAATTAAATTGGAATGTCATGTCTAAATGTAAATGCAATCCAACAAATCAATCAATCAATCAGATACAAAAAGTGCTGATTTCAGGTGCAAAGTGGCTAAAAATTGGAAGTACAGATCTATTTATTTTTGCTTCAGGTTGTTACATACTTTTCACAAGAAATAGAAAAGTAACAAAAATCCAGGGTAGAGCCCACAGGTCTGAAGAGTAAAATATGACCTCACATTACTTTAATCACAAGTGTAGTCCGTCATCTCTGCTGCTTTTTCAAAATGTGCTGGGACATGACATTTTACTTTAAGTCCCAAACAAAAATAGCATTCCATGATTAACCTGGCAGCTCAAACCAGCTTGTTCAGTTGAGTCATTGCAGAGCACAGTCTAAAATGTCATATCTAAAATGTGTGTTTGTATGTATTGTTGACAATTAAAATGTAAATCAACCATGGGCAGAGGTGGGGTCTTGTGGAACACAAATACTAAACAGTCAGAAGGAAATTCACTGAACAGTTGCATCATTTTAGCGCATTTATTCACCAACCACTCACAATCTAGTTTAACCAAGTGTTATTTGCACTGGGATTGTGCCATGCTCTCAGTAAGTCATTAGCAACTTTCACACTTTAAACTGTAAATAACAGTAAAAATTACAGTAATTAATTACATTTGTTAGACCATATCTGCTGTTCACACTAGCAATGGCTTGTAATGATTAAAATACCACACACACACACAAAAAAAAGAAATTTACAGAAAAAAAAAAGAAAAGAAAAGAAGTTCCCAGAACCAAAACATATAGTAGTTTTGTTTAACAGATTGATCTTACTGTATGCACGCATCTGCTGATGCCTCCGGATACATATTCAGTGATGTTCCTGGAATCCTCTGGTGTTTCGGGTCTTTCAACATCATACACCTTCCCCCAGCTTGTGTCCAGATGGATTGTTACTGGTGACACTATTGCTCTCCATCGTGATGCCCCCTCTGCTGCTTTAGTGGTACTGTTGATGGACCTCCTCTTCCTCTCTCCGTTGATTACAAATTGCTAAAGGCTCTGGCTAATGACCGGGCTGGAAATCCCTTACATCCCACCTGGACTGGTAGACACTTATTTCTCCATCCATCCTACTGGCAATCACTGACCAATCCTGCATACTTTGGAGAGTGTCCTCTCAGAGGCCTCTTCGAGGCAATCTTTTAATCTTTCCAGTCTTTCCAGTAACACAACCTGCCTGGTAGATTCAGACACAAGAACAATATCCAGTTGCAGGGTAGTGGCTGTAACTTCATTGGTCATTCAATATCCACCAGCATCTGCCAATCCCTTGTAGAAGTTAGGATACCTGGCGAAGTTGTTTATGCAGTATCTGGCTACTCTCAAGCTTTAACAAAGGTGATGGCCTGCTTAGGGGTTGGGATAATTTGCATAGTCAACTCCTCCACTGATGACTTTAGTGATGGCTTTCAGGACCTGATCATGCCTCCATCAGTACCGCCCTTTTCCTAGTGCCTTTGTACAGCAGCTAAGGATGTCTGCCAGGGTTCCTTGGCTGAAGCACAATGAGTATGCTGGTGACTGTGTTCTGCCCCGTATGTGCAGAATTGATGGACTATGAAGCATGTTATCAATTACACATGGAAGAGTCATAACTATATAAACACCACACACCTCGAGCTAAATAAACAACTATTTTCCTCTCCTTTGCCCTCTGCTTAGCAACAACCTTACCTCTTACCTGAAGATGTTCACCTCTGGCGTCAAAGAAAAGAATGACAATAATTCAAGCACTCGTTCATACAGATGCTTCTGGGAAAGAGTCCCAGCTAGTCAACCACCAACGAACTCTGGCTCCACTACTGCCATATAATAGTTTTCCAGTAAGTTTGGTTATATGTGGTTTGTATTGTTGACACACTTGACACTCATTACAAGTCTTCCATACATCTTTACAAAGTTCAGACCAATAAGCAACCTCCAACACTGTCATGCGTCCAAAGTGTTACCTTAAAGGGTTGCCTCGTGCGAATTGAAGGAATTGATCTTTGTACTGAGTGGAAATTAGGACTTGCAAGATTTGGCATCCATCTTTGGCCTGGGTGTTTCTGAATACATAATCATTATGGATGATATAATATGTATGGGTGGGCAGTTTTAGCTTCATCCCAGAAAGCTTGTAAAGTGGTATATGCTAATTGCAGTGGTGAAAAAAGTACTCAAGTACTTAAGTAAATCAGAATCAGAAGAGCTTTATTACCAAGTATGTTTACACACACAAGGAATTTGACTTGACAACAGGAGCCTCCAGTGCAGAAGAAAGTACAGACATAGTGCATACATACATGATAGTGCAGACATACATAGGAATAACACAGTAGGGATGGAATATAACACTAATATAAGAAATAAAAAACTGAAATTAAATAATGTACTATATACAGAAATAGAAGTATAGGAAAAAAGATGGAATTGTTTAGATAAATGTACAGATATGTTATGTGTGCAGATATGTTATTTACAAAGTGTGCAGTTTACAAGTGTACAAATTTTGGATTCTATGTATAAATATGTAAGTTGTGATGGACGATGTATAATTATGAAAGTTTAATTGTTCAGGCTGAATATCACCTGCGGCAATAAACTGTTCTTGTGCCTGGCTGTTCTGGTGGTCAGTGCTCTGTAGCGCCGACCAGAAGACAACAGTTCGAAGAGAGAGTAGGCTGGGTGTGAGGGGTCCAAGGTGATTTTCTTAGCCCTTTTCCTCACTCTGGAGTTGTAAAGATCTCGGAGGCTGGGCAGAGGGACACCAATAATCCTCTCAGCAGTCCTGACTGTCCGTTGTAGTCTCTTGATGTCTGATTTGGTTGCTGAAAGTTCGAAAGATCTCGGAGGCTGGGCAGAGGGGCACCGATAATCCTCTCAGCAGTCCTGATTGTCCGCTGTAGTCTCTTGATGTCTGATTTTGTAGCTGAACCAAACCAGACAGTTATGGGTGTACACAGGATGGACTCGATGACTAAGTAGAACTGTTTCAGAAGCTCCTGTGGCAGCTTGAATTTCCTCAGCTGGCGAAGGAAGTACAACCATTGCTGGGCCTTTTTAGCAATGGAGTCTTTGTGAGTGTCCCACTTCAGGTCCTGAGAGATAGTGATGCCCAGGAATCTTAATGACTCCACTGCAGCCACAGTGCTGTCCATGATGGTCAGTGGGGGGAGTGCTGGGGGGTTTCTGCTGAAGTCCACGATCATCTCCACAGTTTTGAGTGTGTTAAGCTCCATGTTGTTGTGACTGCACCAGACAGCCAGCTCTTTAACCTCCTGTCTGTAAGCACACTCGTCTCCGTCCTTGATGAGGCCGATGACTGTAGTGTCATCATCCGCGAACTTCAGAAGCTTGACAGAGGGGTCCTTTGAAGTGCAGTCATTTGTGTAGAGTGAGAAGAGCAGTGGGGAGAGAACACAACCCCGAGGGGCGCCAGTGCTGATGATGATAGTCCTGGATGTGAGTTTGCCAAGCCTCACTAGCTGCTGCCTGTCTGTCAGGAAGCTGGTGATCCACTGACAGATGGAGGTGGGCACAGAGAGCTGTGTGAGTTTGTCTGAGAGAAGGGCAGGCATGAAGGCTGAACTGAAGTCCGCAAATAGGATCCTTGCGTAATTCCCAGGTCTGTCGAGGTGTTGCAGGATGTAATGCAGTCCCATGTTGACTGCATCGTCCACAGACCTGTTTGCTCTGTAGGCAAATCGAAGAGGATCCAGCAAGGGTCCAGTGATGTCCTTGAGGTAGGCCAGGACCAGTCTCTCAAGTGACTTCATGACCACAGACGTGAGAGCGATAGGTCTGTAGTCGTTAAGTCCAGTGATTTTGGGCTTTTTGTGGACCGGAATAATGGTGGAGCGTTTGAAGCAGCAGGGAACTTCACACAGCTCCAGAGATATGTTGAAGATATGTGTGAAGATGGGGGCCAGTTGGTCAGCACAGACTTTTAAACAGGCAGGTGAAACACCATCTGGGCCTGAAGCTTTCCTAGATTTCTGCTTCCTGAAGACCCGGTTCACATCCTCTACACAGACCTTAAGTGCAGGTTGAAAGGTGGGCGAGGGGGTTGCAGGGGTGGTAGGTGAATGTGTGAAGTGCAGATCAGAGCAGATGGGGGGTGGTAGACTGGCCTTTTCAAATCTGTAGTAAAACACATTCAGTTCATCAGCCATTTGTTGATTCTCCACAGACTGTTGATGTTCCTCAGACCAGTCCATACTGATGCCCGATCGTTGGCTGAAAGCTCTTTTCTCAAATTGTTGAATAAAGTCGTTATTTTTGTTTTCTTCGCGTACAAAAATTATTCTCGTCGCTTCATAATGTTACGGTTGAACCACTGATGGCAGATGGACTATTCTGACGATGTCTTTCATACTTTTCTGGACCTTGACAGTGTAATTTACTAGGCAGTCAATGGGACAGTCACAAGCCTCCCGGTTTTCATCCAAAATATCTTAAATTGTGTTCCGAAGACGAGCAAAGCTTTTACGGGTTTGGAACAACATGGGGGTAAGTGATTAATGACAAAATTTTCATTTTGGGGTGGAGTAACCCTTTAACTGAAGAAATTCAAGTTGCTTACTCAGACTGTGAGGTGATTTCTAAGATGTAGATGTACTGGTCCGACACAACCATAAGAGAATGGAACTCCACTGCATCCCCAAACTTCACAATGGACATCTGAAATGAAAATAAACCAAGAAAATGATAATATAACTAATTCCAGCTTCTCAAACAGAAATGTGGAATTACTTCAAACACTTTACTTCTAATTGGAATTTAAACTTAAAGGGAAATACTGCTTCTAAACTGTGAGAGAGTAAAAGGCTGCTGTGGAGGGAGTTTAAATGTGTCTCTATGTGTTTGGTTTTATTGAGGGCATTGTATACATGTTATCTTGCCTTTAAAAAGCAGCGAAACTCCTCTTCTCCCCCAAACACTTCCACATCCAGGAACAGCTGAAGCCGATGGTCCACCATCTCTGACAGCAGGTCAAACTGAGCTGAAATGAAAATAATGTTTATGTTTACATCCCTCAATGGAATAAAAAAGTACAAGGTACTATGCCAAACATTAGGATTCATTCTCTGGTAAGAATTTAATGTGTGGCATCTACAAATACAAGAGGAAAAAGAAAACTATTACTTCTATACATTTTGGTCATGTTTAAAAAGCACTCAGTTTGGTCAATGAGTTTCAAAGCTACACTATTTAACTGGCAATCCTAAAATAGACCTGAGCCCAATAACTACAGATGTTCTTGCCATTTCCAATCACAGTCTGAATTCATCCTTTTCAGGGTAGTTTTTTCTTCTTTAAACAAATTCTCATTACTGTTACCCTTTCTAACCACTCCACTTATCTTTATCCCAAGAGTGGACCACTTACCATTGTTGGAGCCTTCTGTGTACTTTGGTGACTGTTGGTCCTGATGTTTTTGATAGCTGTTGTTGCAGGAATTTTCAGCCACCTTCTCCTTAATCTCCTCTGAGTTACCCTGCACCTGTCCATCAGTTGTGCTGAAGTTGATTAGTTGAGATGTTCTCTGATCAACCCATGTCTCATTATGGTTAGTCAAACAATTAGACAGGAAGTTATGGGCTGTGTGGAAGTAAGCTGTGGCTCCCTCTGTGGAGACCTCTGAATGCTGAGGCGAATGGAGTGGGCTGCCACGGGATAGCAAAGACTGTCCTGGGACCAACGCCTAAGGGAATTAAGCAAATTAAGTGAGTGAAAAGAGAACATTAACATTATACTGTCATGGAAATATCAAGTCAAAAAGAGCATAAACCCAGACCTCATTGAGCTTGGGTTGAACCATGTTGTCCCTGTCATCAAAGGTAAAGTATCTGGCATCATTCTGTTCAAATGGTGTACTGGTGGAAGGAGCTGATTGGGCAGCCAACTGAACTACATGATCACTATTGCACTCTGAGCAGATGACAGTACAACCTGCAAAAATAAAAAGAAAAAATAAATACATTAATTAAAAAAAGGTATATAAAGATAAATGCTCCTATCCTGAGACATCTAAGACCATCTAATACAGCTCAAGTGCTCAAATGGCAGCAAAAAAGAAACTCAAAGAGATGCACCTACGCCATTCAAGGTAACACTCACTACAGGACAGAGTGTTCAACATACTCTTTGCTTCAGATTTATTTTAAGGACGTTAATGCTCTTAAAATAAACACCTTCACTGAACTCTGCCCCATGCAGAACCAACTATGTGTTTGGCCTAGATGATCCGCAGGACACCAAGCAAACAGACTGAAAGCAGCTGAACAAATGTCCCAGAACCTCCGGTTTGCATGTCAAAGCACATTTTAAAACTATGCAGCACTGCAGAGGTGGAGGATGAACTGTGTATTAAACCAGTCATTAAAAAGAAAATGGCCTGCAGGATGTAACAGTGGAGAAAAAAATATATAAAACTATTAAGTCGGTTACGCTGAAAATAGTTCATATGATAAAATTATTGGCTGCCTAATGGAGTCCCAAGATAAAAAGCTCTCACACCCAGTGCTTGGCAACCATTCTGTATTCATGAAATTCTTTGGTAGCACATTTAATCCAGGTTCTCTCATGTTCCAACAAGATGATCACCCAATCATGGTAAGCATGATTCATCTTTTCTGATTAACTTTATCTTGTGTTGAAAGCTGAGATGTAAAAAAAAGATCAGGACCAAAAAAAATGTCACCATGCTAATAACCAGTATCAATCAACTCGTGTAATCTCAACTATTATGGGACATTAGAATATTGTGTTTAATTGCAATGAGGTGGAGGCAACCACAAGCTAGTCATGCTAGAGAGAATGATTGTAATTGCTGTAATACTAATGAGAAGTGTGTTGAGAGTTGCATGTGTTTGTACCACTCCCTGGAATGTTCTGGCAGGAGTATATGTCCGCCTATGCTTCCAGGGCCTTGCTCATGACAGAAAAATAATTATCTTTATGACTGTTAGGGCCATATGCTTACGGTCATTCCTTAGCTCATCCAGGTGGCTCAGGCTGCTGTCGAATTCAGTTGCTGGCTGGCAAAATTCAGTCTGACACTTTAGGCACTGTAGCCAAACTGTCTCTGGTCTCTCCTCATCCAACTGCTGCTTGTTTTCCTCCACGACTTTTGAGAGAACCTCCACTAATACCTGAGGAGTCAGAATTCTGATCTTAATTAAGTAATATCACATTGTTTTAAATTTTAAAGTTTCATCAAAAAGTCAACAAATTGTGTGGGAATGTGTCAAAAGAGATTTAAAAATATAGCTGCAAGCAACAATTAAAGGGTCAAGCACAACATAGGTAAAATGAAGAGCAAAGGAGCTGTCCTTAATTTCTCAGTATAAAGACCAGGGCCCGTATTCACAAAACATTTTATCTTACCACTAAGAGCTCTCCTAAATAGCAGTAAAAGTTTTTAGCTAAGAGTTTACGCTTAAAACCTATTCACAAAGCTGCTGAGACAAACTTTACTAAGGAATAAAGAGAAGTCTTAAGCTAAGAATAAGGGTGGGGTTGTCCTCGCGGCTGACACAGAATAGCGTACGCTGCTTGCGTTCAGCGGATATTCTCCAAAATGGCGCTACGGTGACGCGGAGGAGAATAAATTGTTGAATAAAGTCTTTATTTGTGTTCTCTTTGCGTACAAAAAGTATTCTCGTCGCTTCATAACGTTACGGTTGAACCACTGATGGCAGATGGACTATTCTGACGATGTCTTTCATACTTTTCTGGACCTTGACAGTGTAATTTACTAGGCAGTCAATGGGACAGTCACAAGCCTCCCGGTTTTCATCCAAAATATCTTAAATTGTGTTCCGAAGACGAGCAAAGCTTTTACGGGTTTGGAACAACATGGGGGTAAGTGATTAATGACAAAAGTTTCATTTTGGGGTGGAGTAACCCTTTAAGTATTAAAAAAGTAAAGGTAAATCCTGCAAATTAAAATATATTCAAGTCTTATAAATAATACTAATACCTACCAATAATAGATACTATACTACATATTTAACAGTAAAGCATTGGTTTTGAGTTAAGATGCAGTAAATTAAATGTACTGCTATTAACAACAATAAAATAAAATATTAACAATTTATGTAGAGCTATTTTCACAACTGAAGAGGAGCACAGAGAGATATTTTCCAAAACAGCTATTTATTGACAGATGTGCAGCCACACAACCAATGCAAGCAGGTAAGTAACTGGGTTCAATGAGTGGTAATGCAAACTTAGCTGGTGATAACAGTCCTTTCTTTCTACAGGTGCAGGTAGTGAGAATGGGTTGAATGCAGGCTGAAGAGGACAGAAGACTGGACATAAACAGGTAAGCAGCAAAGGTAGGTAGTCGGGTGAGTTGTCTGGTAGAGAACAACAAGACCTGAGAACTGAGGTGAGTACTTTTTAGGAGTCCTTAATGCAGGTGCAGATGATCAGTATTCAGGTGATTGAGAATGTGTGGGCGGAGCTGATAGGTCTGGTGCCTAGGATGTGAATGACTCTGTAAAAGTACCCCCCCCCCTCCACGGGCAGCTCCCGATGACTGTGGTGGATGACCACGGGCACGGCCTATACCTCTGGGTGCTGGGCAGTTGGGACTGTTGGCATGGAATTGAGGATGTCATCACGAGCAACCCAACGTCTCTCCTCTGACCCGTATCCCTCCGACTCCAGACCCTGAGGAGGAATGAACAATGGGATCAATGAATGGCTTGAGTAATGATACATGGAATGAAGGTGATAAATGTTAGTGAGGAGAAAGGTCTAAATGATATGTGACTTCATTGAGCTGACTTTGAGGAACTGATGTAGCGGGGACCTTTTGTTCCAGATGGTACTGGGGAGTTGTGGTTCTTCTGGCATCGGCATGTCTTTCTTTCTCTGAACTACCCTCTGCAGAGGAATGTGAGCTAAGTACCAGACCCTCTCCCTGTCCAGGAACCAGTGGTTGACAGCTGGAACCTCAGATGGCTCTCCTGATCAGGGAAACAGGGGCGAAACAGGGGCGGTTGATAGCCAAGTATGCACTGGAAGGGTGTCAATCCTGTGGTTTTCTGATTTAGTGAATTCTGTGCATACTCCGCCTATGGTAGGTAGCGGCTCCAGCTGTGTTGACGGCTGTGGCAATATGACCACAGGTACCTCCCTATCTCTTGGATCTTGTGCTCAGTCTGGCCATTGGTTTAAGGGTGATATCCTAAAGAGAGACTCACAGAGACACCGAGCAATTGTTTTCAGGAATCCCAAAGTAATGGAATACGTGCTGGAAGAGTGTCTCTGCAGTTTCCAAAAGGCTGTTGGCAAACCCTTGAGGGGTATTAGCCAGCAGGCTTTGTAGAAGCGGTCTACCACTACCAGGATGCAGGTGTTGGACTCCAAGAATGGTAAATCAGTGAGGAAATCTATCCCGATATGGGACCAGGGTCGATGGGGAAAAGGTAGTGAGACCAGCTTCCTAGTGGGCAGTTGATAAGGCACCTTTGAGATGCAACAGACTGAGCAACCTTTGATGAATCGGGACACATCCTGGGCCATACTGGGCCACCAGTACCGGTTGCTGATTAGCAAGAGGGTTTGCTGGCTGGCTGGGTGTCCAGAGCACGGATACGTATGTACTGAGTCCATGAGGGATAAGCGGAGAGCTGTTGGTACATAGAGCTTTCCCTCAGGACCTCCTGGTGGAGCTGGCTCTGATTGTGTGGCTTCTGTGATCTGGTCATCTAGTGACCACTGAATGGGACTGAGGATGATGGCCGGAGGGAGAATGGGTTCTGGAGGTGATGTATCAGGATCCGGGTTGTGTAAATGAGAAAGAGCGTCAGCCTTTTGGTTCTTGTGACCAGATCTATAGGATACTGTAAAGTTAAACCAAATGAAAAAGAGTGCCCAACGTGCTTGGCGAGGATTCAGTCTCTTAGCTTCAAGAAGATATACCAGGTTTCTCTTGGTGGTGATGACCTCAAATGGATGTTTGGCTCCCTCCAGCCAGTGCCTCCATTCCTCAAGATCCAGTTTGATTGCCAGCAGTTTGCCAATGTCATAGTTACGGTCTGCCGGGGACAGTTTCTTGGAATAGAGCTTCCCGAATAGAAGCATGGATGAAATATGGGAGGCTCACGCTTCTGCTAGGATAAAACAGCTCCTACCCCTGTGGTGGATGCATCGACCTCTACCACTAAAGGAAGATCAGGATTGGGATAAGTAAGAGTAGAAGCTGTACAGAAAGCTTCCTTTAATTCCTTGAAGGCTGAGATGGCAGAGGGGTTACAGAACATAGAATTAGGCCTGTTATGGAGGAGTGATGTAAGTGGAGAACTGATCTTGCTGAAGTTGAAGATGAATCGTCTATAAAAGTTGGCAAATCTTAGAAATCGTTGAAGATTTTTGACAGAAGAGGGTTGTGGCCAGTCCTTCACTGCTTGTACCTTCCTCTGGTCCAACTGGATGTCATGCTCATTGATTACGTATCCCAGGAAATGGATGGTGTCCTGGTGGAACTCACACTTCTCAAGCTTCAGATAAAGATGATATTCACTAAGTTTCTGAAGGACCTGCATCATGTGGTGGCGATGTTTGGCCCGGTTCCAGGAGTAAATCAGGATATCGTTGATGTAGAAGGTGACGAAGCGGTGGAGCAACACCTGGAACACCTCATTCATGAATCCTTGGAATACGGAGGGTGAGTTGGAGAGCCCATATGGCATAACAAGATACTCATAGTGGTCTGAAGGTATCACAAAAGTGTTCTTCCACTCGTCACCCTCACATATCCGGATGAGGTTGCAGGTGCTCCGCAGGTGCAACTTGGTGAAGATGCGAGCTCCAAGTAACTGATCCAGGAACCAGATAAAGGGGGTAATGGTACTTCATGATTTTTGAGTTGAGAACACAGTAATTGATGCCTCAAGTCTCTGTCCTTTTTTGCCACAAAGAA